CCCTTCTTACATGGACCCCTGCAAGATGGAGCAGAGCCTCCCAGGCAGCCAGCAGCAGCTCAGACAGGGGATAGGAAGCAGCCCACCCCTGCCTCTGCCTGGCCAGTGACACGTGGGCGGGTCAGTGCCCCGTTTTCTGTGTCCCCCGGATCCCCGGCTCTGCACTCCACCTTCTAGCTTCCCCAGCAATCTCTCCGTCTGACACCAGACACAACGCAGGATCATCTCAGGGCACTGTCCAGCGGGCGCCGCGGCTCCCCACGCGCTGCTGCAAACACAGCCCTCTTCACCCGTAAAGCAGCCCATTTCACAGATGACACGTAGCTCTGGGTCTGTTCCCTCTCCGCCCAGGAGCCTCTTACTCCGCAGCCCACGCTCCCGGCACTAGCTCCTCAGGGCGGTTTCTGCCCCAGCTTCCCCATTAGATGGAAGAGAAGCCACTCCCTCCCTGCAGGGCTCTGACTCTTGGGCAGAGAACCTATTTCTGCCCCTCGAAAGCTCAGTCAGCCCCGCGGGCAGGAGGCCTGTCCCAGGAGCAGCGAAGCTGCGGCCAGGCCAGCGCGCTCACTCACACACCACACCACTCTCGATTCCTCTATCCTTCCATTCCCGCTCAGTGACCGGTGCACAGGTGTCAGGAACGCTGCAAACCTGGGGAGGCCGTGTGAGCCACCGTTGTGACCCCTCTGCTCATAGGGTGGTTTACCAGGGAGGTAGCACATCTGCTCGCTGGTCCCAGAAGCTTCGTTCGGGGACAGCCTATGTTGCACAAGAGGGACGGGGCTGCTGGGAATCATAAAGGGGAAGGCTTGACCTCGACGTGAAGGTCAGAGGAGGCTGCTCTGGGGGTGAAGCTGGAGCCCTGGTCTGAAAGGGAGGAGCAGAAAGTGAGAAGGGGAGGGCTGAGTGGCAGAGCGGGAGGGACTGCGGGAGGGACACCTGCCCTAGCAGGACACGCACACACCCACCCACCCACACACCATCCCTCAGGCTTGCACTCGCCTGGGCCAGCTTTGCGTGAGCCCTCAGACCTCAACAGAAGGAGACCCAGACACCTCCCAGCTCTCCCACTGCCTCCTGGCTGGGGCCTGAGTGTGCCATTGTCTTGGGTGAGTGTTGTGGCTCCTGGCACCTCCTGTCACTCAGGGAGACAGTAACTGGGGCCGCCAAGCCAGGGGAAGGAACAAAGGTCTTGATGGGCACTAGAAAGTCTGCGTCGGCCCCAGGTTTGGGCCAAGGCCCTGCCCTTGGAGATCCGTGTGAGCACGTGGCACATGCAGTGAGCCCCGCGATGTTCCCAGGCAGGCTAAGCTGGGGGGTTGGGGGGGACTGCATAAAGTGACCCCTTTCTGGGCTAATTGAGTGCTGAGTGCCGCAGGTCAAAGAGAAGAACCTGCTGTGAAAACAGGCCCGCGGATGCTTTCCCGCGGCTCATGAAGCAGAGATTGGAATAACACAGGTAATTGGCTGTAATTGTAGAGTAAACTTCAGAGCTTGGGGTGGAGGCCCGGTTGCCTGCCTGGGAACCGATGGCGCTTCCCTGGCCAGATGGTCTGCGAAGCTCACCATGGCGAGCAGCCCTCCCCTCGGTCCCACACCATCTCGGTCTCCGGGAGGGGACAGGGGCAGAGGGCAGGAACGTGGATGCCAGAGGGCTCGAGAGCTGCCGGCCCAGGAAGCTGAGGCCCAGAGGCTCTGGTTCAGGGATGCCGGCCGAGTCCCCGAGTCCAGATTCGGTGTGTCCAACGCCGGCTTCCCAGCTCCCTCGGGCATCCTGGGCCATCTCGGGCAGAGCTGCCAGCTTACAAAACAAAATGTCCGCTCACTGAGAAGGAGAAAGGGCAAAGCAGGTGTGGTCGTCTGACACAGGCAGGGAGAGCGGGCAGCGGGCAGCCCACAGAGCGGTTTACCCGCAGCCGGCCGTCTGCAGCCCCGCGGCCCCTCTCTGTCTCCCCCGCCTTAATGGCTACTGGCCGTGCGGGACCCGAAACCATGTCCATGTGCATGCACCTCCGCTGCTGCACCTGGCACTCTGAGTGGGATGCCCCCCATGCCTGGTCCTGTGACAACACGCACTGCCCCCACGCCTGGTCCTGTGACAGCACGCACTGCCCCCGCCTGGTCCTCTGTGACAGCACGCACTGTGGACTGGGAAACCCTGGCTCACCGAGTTACTGTCCTCTCCATGCTGACACACTGGGTCAAATA